TATATATATATATATATATATATATAGTATATATCAAACATTGAGATTGATAGATATGTATATTTAAACAGAAAGCAAAGGCCAAGGTTTTAAAGCCTATCTATATTCTCTGTCAACAAAATAAATGATAAAAAGTGCTGTTACAATCAGACATAGTACATAAAAATCAATAATAGACTAGTTTGTTTTTAACTAAACACTTCTTGTATCATTTTTTATTTTTCCCCCAATAAGAAAAGAAAAAAAAAAGATAAATTATATAAACAAAGTTCAACTAGGGGGGAAAAAAAAACAGATCTAATAGTAAACATTCTTTGAGCTGTACATGAAGTAAAATTTTTGCTTGATCAACACATAAAGCAGCATTTATAGTTCATTCTTATTTTAAAATTATCTTAAGATGCTAATACAGCTCTTTGACTGGTATTCATAATTCTTATTTTAAGACTCTTAAGTAATGTCTTAAAATGCTAATGCAGCTCTCTTGATTGGTTCATTACATCTTAAGATTATACTTAAGTAGTTTTAAATATAAGAATCAATTATGAATATCGATTTCTAATTGGTTAACACCTTAAGACTGTGCTTAAGATAGTCTTAGAGTTTTACAATAAGTCGGAAGTCCTAAGTGGTCCTAAGTCTTAAGCTAGTATTCATAACCGGTTCTTATTTTAAGACTGTCTTAAGTAATATCTTAAGATGCTAATACAGCCCTCTGATTAGTTCATAACATCTTAAGACTGTACTTAAAATGATCTTAAATATGAATATCAGCCTTAGTCTAGATCCACAACCCTACTTTAAGAGACTGTAAGCCGCAAAATCGAAAGAAATTGAACAATCATAGTAAATAATTTTTCTCATGTTCAACTGTGATTGGTCAATTTCTTACGGCTTTACAGCTTAAGGCCTCTTAAAATAAGATTGCAGACCTAGACTTAATTGGTGCAGTTGGCCAATAGCCAACTTGTACGACTAAGGTGAAAACTGTTTAAGACTTTCGATTATCGACTACAGACTCATTGGGGTAGAACCCCCATTAAATGCACAAATACAAAAATCGATAAATGGACCATTCGTAGGTACTCACCTCTGTTGAAGGGCTGCAAGTTCAAATCGCTGCCGCTTTGATGCATGTGCTGGAGGATGACAGCGTCGCCGTCACGAATCCCATGATCGCGCAACGACTTCTTGTCGTCCATGAGTGGCAGGCCGTTGAACGCGATCACAATCTCATGGGCCGGCACGCCGCTCTCAATTTCGCAGAACGCTTTAAAGTTCTCTAGCTCCAGCTCCTCGCTCACGTCAAGGACAAAGACGCTATCATCGCTGAGTGTCGTTACCGTCACCTTCATCGTTCGCTCTGGACGACTTGAACTCTACAGATAAACAGACGAACGCGCGTCCGCTTCGCTCTCACTGTTGATGGGAAAATGCCGGGAAAGATCCACGCGACGTGTCCTCAGCCCTCGCGAAACTCGAGGAACGGACAAAGATGTACAACGTGGCAGGACGGGAGGGGCGAGCTTACGAGTCCTCCGCCATCCTCCGGATGTAAACACGAGACCAACTCAGCAAAAATATTGAGTTTCGGAACGCATATTTAAAAAAAAAAAAAGGAAGAGCCTCTGTCGAAATAATTGTGAAGTTTGGAATTTTTTCCATGAGTTTTAGAACGCAGTTTGATAAAAATAGCCCTCTGCCAGAATAATTGTAAACTACACAATTTTGTTGATGAGTTTCGACATAGAATTTATTTTAAAAACAAGTTTTCTAGCGCGATAATTGTAAATATCGTATTGTAAATACAAATTATAAATTATAAATTTTTTAATTCTTGTTACATTAGAATTATACAAATAATATTCCAACAGTCATAATCGTAACAGAGAGAAACCTGAGAGAGCTGGCCATGCTGGCCTTCTTCATTGTTATCGTCGAAATCAACCGTACTATCGCCGAGTATATTCATTTTCAATTTGGGAACTACGTAAGTATACAATATACATTTTCTGACACTATCGACAAAATCGTATCGTCGAAAGTAGATGTGGTTCGTCTCTGTACTAAATCTTCAACAATCCTCAGGATAGAAGCGTGCCGACTATCCATAGAAAGGTCCATTTAATAAATCCTTAAACGAAAAAATGTTTTTAATTTTGCATCTTACATATGTAAATAAAAGTTGTTGAATTTTAATAAACGGAATTGAAAATTCAAACAAGTTAATTTTGTAAATTTTGTCTTATAATATCTTATAAAATTACGAAGTTGTTTCTTTATGCAAATTTTCAGCCCGCGTTTTTATTAAACATAATTACGTGAATGATTAGAATTATTCATGTAATTATGTTTGATAAAAACTATTCAAGGGAATCGATTCTGTATCTTGAAACGAGGTGAAAATTACAAAAGTGAACGAATTTACTAGAATACTGATAATTTCATTGGTCAATACCTAGTAAATTTGCTAGAATCGATCCCAAAGATACAGAATCGATCCTCTAATCGTAACTACAAATGACAATCGATCAATAATCGTGAATGAGAACGCTGATAGGCTGAATTTTTCTGTCCAAATCGATCGAATGGTTACAAATAGTTACTGTGATGTGATCGTGTCTCTAATAGTTCCCACATGTGTTTGAGATGTGAAATGTGAATGAAGAGGTACGTGGAGCTTTTAAAGGAAATAAATAAATAATTTATTTTATCTCCTATATATTCTAAAGATGAAGCGTTTATCAGAGGAGAAAACAAAACTTGTATTCGAAAAGCTAACTAAGTAGTAAGTAACTTTACGATTTAAATTATACTTATTTCATAATTGTCTAATTGAATGTAGGTTCTAAATATACCGGGTATTCATAATAATCTCAAATTTAATTGTTGTAGCATTGGCACTAATGTAAAGAACTTGATTGATCGACCAGATGGTATTTACTGCTTTCGGGAGAAAAAGGATAGGGTGTATTATGTGTCGGAAAAAATTTTATCGTTAGCAAATAACGTAGAATCTGATCATCTGTTAAGTTTAGGCACTTGTTTTGGCAAATTCACAAAATCAGGAAAGTTCAGGCTACATATCACTGCGTTACATTATCTAGCGCCTTACGCACAAGTAAGTATGCGTATTTATAAATATATTCAGATTTTAATAAATGTAATTGCAAATTTACAATATAAACTTTTTTATCAAGCACAAAATTTGGGTAAAATCTTCGGCGGAGCAACAGTTTCTCTATGGAAATCATATTATGAAATCTGGTCTCGCTCGTATAACAGAAGGTACTAATCAATATCAAGGTGTTGTTGTATTTTCCATGAACGATTTGCCACTGGTATGTTATATCAAATTAAATATAATTCTCAATGCATCGTTGATTATCTCTTCCATTTAAACATTATTATATAAAAAAAGATAATAAGTGCATTTATGTTTTCCATTTAATGCCTCAGGGATTTGGCATTGCTGCAAAAAGTACAGCTGATTGCAAACACGCAGATCCTGTAGCAGTAATTTGCTTTCATCAAGCAGATATTGGAGAGTACATTCGTTCGGAAGACACATTACTGTGACAAAAATTTACATCTGTTCTTTTTTTTTTAAAGAAAAAATATATCTAATTTGTACAGCAAGTTTGCTTATTTTTTTTGCATCTTATAATTTAGATGTCTGTGATTCATGTAATATTACATATTGACGAATTGATAAAGTTAAGGATTGCTCCTGTACATTTATCCTATAATATGTGTATGTATACTTCAATCATGAAATAGATTGCATTTGTTTATAAAGAAAAAATTACGGTAGATTATATTTTATCTCCATACTTCTATAATTTTATTAACAAATAAACTTTATGCATTACAAATTCGATTTTTATGATCAATATAAAATGCAAATATGTACATTCTATTTTTTACGTGTTCCACACACACATATTACGTAAAATTTTTGAAATGTATTATCATACCTGCTAATTAAAAACAATATATTAATTAACAATTGTTAAAGTATATGTACACTATTGACAAATAAAAATTTGTGCTCTTTTGATAAAATTATTTGGATGTAATATACATAACATATATGTATATAACAATATACACGATACTTAAAATGATTTCTATTGATAGTACGTGATGTGGTTTTGTTAGAAAATAAAAAAAGCTTCGTGGAATAAAATTTGCACGTATTGATGTATTGATGTTACAATGCAAGAAGAGAATGTATTTTCACAGATCATAAAATGAAAGTACGGTACGACTTATGACTAGCGTAAACTGGCTAAGATTTACAAATTTATTTGAACTATCAATTGTTTCTTTTTTTTTTCTTTTTCATCAGTTATTACAAATGCAATGAATGCAAACAGGTTCCCGAAAGTGCAAATCGTGAGCTACCGTGAACTGCGAATAACGACTTATCATTTAATGTTTTTGGTGTGCAGCGTAAATAGACGAAAGATATAAATCGTCTAAAAATTCAAATTCTTGACAAATAAAATTATAATCATATTTGCTCGTATTATGACGCATCGTTCACATGCTTTCGTTTATTTTTGAATTTTATACGATACTTCTCACATTTCGATATAATAATCACTTTTAATCCTTAATTGTCCTGACAGAAAAATTTTTACAAAAAAGAATTTTTAATATTGTCCCAATAAGGATAATTTTTCTGTACTTTTTCGTAAAAATTTTTTTTTCGCTAGGATAGTTGCAAACGTAGAACGCACGCAGTCTATACTTTGTTATATTACGCGATCAATTGAGAGGCAGACAGACTTAGAATATTTCTTCATATCTTTTCCTTGACACTCATATTTAGAACTATCTTATCACGATATAAATCAGGTAATAATATAAATCACGTAAAGCTAACCGGATATCAATAAAAAGCATTCTATCATTATGCAAGAGAACCTAATATAAGAGATAATTTAGTACGAATAAAAAAAAATGATTTGAACACGATCTTTGAAGGAAAAAAGATACAATGTCTTATTTTTGGTATTCACATACAAAAAAATCATGTCTCTTCTATATTGCATAGCGAAATTTGTTTCCATCATTCTACGTTACCCATTAGTGCATTTTGAAATATTGAATAAATTTATTCTACAGTTCGTACTTTTCTCGTAATTGATTATTATTTATCTGACACATACATACGTATGTACAAGTCAGAAATTCATTCGAAGTGCAACATAAATCAGTGTTACATTTTATCAATTGTTCCGTTTTCCAATGCAAACATACTATAAAGATTTCAAGACATAATAAAATTCAGAGTTAGTAAAAATAATGTTTGAAACCGTTTAAAACATTCTTAATGTTTTTCACATATTTTAAACATGTATTTTTTATAAATTGTTTAAAGCATGAAGACATGTTTTTAAAAAATTAATATTTGAAAATAAATAATATAATATTTTGTCCTTAAAAAAAAACATTTTTTGCCAATCCTGATAAAATTACAAGAAATATTTTTTTTCTTTACCAAATTTAGCAAACACAGGTTTTAGCAAATTCACCAATTTCGTGGCTAGATAGTCTGTATCGGCCAACTTATCTTTACAATCCTTTTTTCTTTTCCTTTAATAATTTTACGTCGTACGAAATTTTTAACGCTCTTTCGTAGCTCTTATATTACTTTTTCTTTTATATCTTTTTGCTCGTTTTCAACACATCTTGTAAATATACAGATATACACGCTTTTACCGATATTGTTTTACTAATTAGATAATCACTATAAATGACATTGTATATCACATTAATTTTCAATACTTCGTAAAGACGAACTTACTTCGTTTCTATTCCTCCTTTTCCTCATGCTTGTAACAGCACTTTAATTCTTGTCATTGGAATACAGAAAGAATAAATCTGTTTTCTTTATAAAATATTTGCATAAATATCCTGAAATATGTATGTGTAATGCAATGGGAAAGTTAGCAGAGATTAACATATAGTGCGATAATAATGATTCACATACTGGCAAAACATACAGAACTATAAAACTAGAATTGGATATGTATATAAATTTACACCGAAATCTTATTTAATTAAGGTGCATTTTTACGAGCCGCTCAAACTGGCCGTTTCAACGACAACAAAAGATCACATATTGACTTTTGTCGCAGGATTTTACACGTGAAAAAGGGCAAGAATCGCCGAATTTGACATTTGAGCGACAGATTTGACGCTCTGTGTGCGTGTGTGTGTGTGTGCGCGCGCGCGCGCGTGTGTGTTATCTGAATCAGCAACAAAGAATAAATTAAGTATATCG